CCCGGGGGCTGAGCGGGGCCCTGGAGAGGAGCTCGGAAACGATCCCGACGTTAGTGAACCGCATCGCCAGAGTTCAGCCTCCCCAGGCACGGACTGGGACTGACTGACCCATCATTTATGCTCGGATCCACTCCTGGAGTTTCTCTTCCCAAAGACTTCCCCTCTGGACTGGATACGGTCTCAAGCACTGGGTGAGATCCCAGATTTTCCCTCCTCTGTGACCTTACAGATGGTCGGTTATTTTTTGGTAACAGGCATTGAGGACGATGTGGTTTCGGTTTGTGCCCACCTGACCCCACCAGTCCTGACATTTGTTTCTCTTTTATAATTTGACCCAGTGACGGTCGGGGTTTGCTCACCCGCTCAAATTTTTCTCCCCTATTGTGTATTCAGTTTTCTAAATTCATACTCTGCTTATTTTAGGCCTTTACGTACGTAGCGACATCAATTCAAAGATAATTTTGGAAACTATTTTTGGTTCTTATAAATAGGAAAACAATGAAGCATGTGAGTAAACATCTAAATATTCACTTGTTGGGACCAAACTGCTATGATTTTTTTTTTAACTTTTTTTTTTTTTTTATGTAACAGTTGAGTTTAGGGCCTTTTAAAAATGATTGTTTTCCTTTTATGTTGGAAGTTAACAAAATTAGCATGGTTTTAAAGAGAAAAAAAAAAATTACACCCTACTTCTGGCCACTGTTTGTGTTCACTGTTAGGCCTGGTGTGTGCTGGACCCCAAACTGCTTGTAGCATTTGTGTCTCCTCCCTGCAGCTGGTTGTGACCCGAGTGCCCTTTCCAAGATGACAGTTTTCTAAGGAACTTCCGAATTCTACTTGGGGAAAAAATATAAATGGAGATGAGAATTTTTCAATATTTTTTATTAATCTTTTTATAAAACCAAAAGGCAGATCCCTCCTGAGCTGATTGAGGACAGCCCTTAGGATGTGTTTCTTTTTATCTTCTGCTTTAAGAATACCCTGGAGCAGTTTGCAGATGGTTCCCGGCCGGGTTTGAGCCTGGGCGGGGAGGCACAGCCGTGCCCGCGCTCCCGTCTCCCCCTCCCCAGGATTGCTGTGCTGTTCCCCACACACCAGCTAGAGTTTGGTTTGTTTTGACTTGAACAGTTCCTGTTTAGCAAAGCCCCGAAGTTTGTTTATGCAAATAAAATACAATAAAATACGTAGTAGGTGTAACTCTGCTTGGTTTGTGTCCTGAGTTGCCAGAGGAGGCCAGAAGAGCCAAGTGCCTGGAGCTGCAGGGGAGCTGAGGGACACAGTGGTCCTGGAGGAGAGGTTGGAGGGACACCAGGGGTGGAAGGGGAAGCCCAGCCGGGTGCCCTCACTGTCACAGAGCAGCAGGGGCACAAACCAGGGGTTTGTGCTGGCCTGACTCAGGTATGAAAGCAACTCCCTGTTGGGTTTTATGCGTTAATAGACCTTTCAGCCCCTGTTTTGTCCCTAATTGCCTGGGGACAGAGGTGACACAGCCACGGGCCCTTCCCTGGCCTGCTGCCAGCAGGGCTTGTGTCACCCACGCACGGGAGCAGCTCCATCCCTTCCCACAGCCGAGCTGGGTGCTGGGTGTGTGGCCTTGGGGCGGTTCAGGGGATGCCCAGGGGCAGAGCAGCTTTCCCGGCGCTGTGGGGTGACGGCCAAGAGCTGTCGGGACAGAGGTGTGGGGTAACCGTGGCTGCTTCACCTCATGCTTGACCTCGAGCTGACCTAGGGAAAGGGGGGCCCGGTGTTCCCAGTTCCCTGAGGGGTCACCCTGGGAATTGCAGCAATGAAACCTCCCCTCCATCGCCCTTCTCTGCCCGCGGCCGATCCCCAACCCCTGCTCGGGGCTCAGGATTGCTGGGTCGGATGAGTTTGGCCAAAAGGAATATCTGCTGCCTCCTGGGCCAGGTGCTGGCCAGGCCCGGCCGGAGCAGTGGTGTCACAGTGTCACACTGACATCCTGGCCCGTGGAGGGACCGTGGCCACACCACCCCCTGCGCTCGCGGTCTGTGGGTTTCGGCCCCTCCGCGGTTTGGGTTTCACTTCCCCTCCAGCCCAAGGTGACAGAAGCACTGTCACCCTGGATGGCTGTGAGCTGTCACCAGGGGCCAGCTGTGGTGCCTCGCTCCACACTGTGCCAGCCCTGGCTCTCCCCAGCGTTTGGGGCTCAGCTGTGCAGGGATGCCAAGGCTGAGACCCCACACTGGCACAGAGGGCCCAGCCCTGCCCCGTGTGGGGAAAAGGTGAGTTGGGGGCTCCGTGCTGAGGGTGGCCGGGGGGGACACGGCTCTGCAGGGCTGTGCCGTGACACTGGTCCCCACCTGCAGTCCCAGCACCCAGTGCCCTCCAGTCCCATCCTCACCCAACCTCTCTCCCACAGCTGATGCCAGCGATGCCATCCCAGGACACCGAGCCCAGGCATGTCTGGCCCCGGTGTCCATCCGGCCCCAGGAGCCCCCATGTCCCACCAGGATGGCCGGGCAGCCCCGCAGGTGGGTGTGAGGTGGGTTGGGGCAGCCAGGGACCCGCCCGGGATGGGTGCAGGGGGAACCCTGTGGGGCACAGGGATGTGGTGTGGACCAGCACCCAGGTTCTCTCTGCTTCGACTTCCTTCCCAGCACGGAGCTGATTTCCTCTGGCATCACGTGCACAGTGCAGGGCCAGGGGAGCCCGGCAGGGCACGGCTCGACCTCGTGGGCAGAGGCAGGAGGGAGCAGGAGGGCAGGTAGGAGGGAGATGCCACAGCTCTGGGGGTCCTGTGCGTGGGAACCACCCCAACAGCAGCCCCTGTGCTTGGCCGAGCTGCTCCAGGGCTGGGCATGAGGACAGGGTGGTCCATGGGCACCTGCCCATGGCCTGGTGCCCTGTACCCGCCGGCTGGTGGGCCTGCCCTGCTGTGCCCCCCGGGCTCGGTGGGACGGGGATGCTGCTGTGCCGTGGGGGTGGGATGACATCCTGCCCGTGCTTCCCCTGCTCTGCTGCACAGAGGAAGTGCCGCCCGCAGCAGGGCCTGTGTGGGGCTGGTGTGGGGCTGGGAGAAGGTCCTTCCCCAGAGCCTAAGGAACCCTTTTGCTCCCTGGCAGTTGGAACCACAGCGAAGGACAGGGAGGCCGAGGACGGGGAGCCCCCAGGTGAGTCCTGGGCTGGGGGAGAGGGAGGGACGGGGATGTGCCTGGGACAGGCCCCCCATGCTGGGGCAGGAAGAGCTTCCTGCCCCGCTCTCGCCTGGCAGTGCCGGTCCCAGCCCCAGCCCCGCTCCTGCCTCCTCTCCCCAGAGCTCCCAGCACCGCTGAGGATGGAGCCGGCCAAGCTCCCGCTCGCCAAGAGGATGGCTCCTGCTCCCCCTGTCCCTGCCAAGGCCAAACCAGTCCCTGTGCTGGCCACCAAGTAAGACACATGTGGCCGTGCTGGAGTGTCTGGGGCCACAGCGATGTCCCAGCACCAGGGCCATGCCCACGGCCATCTCTGGGCCCTGGAGCAGGACTGGCTGTGCCATTTCACACCTCTGCTGTCCCCAGGCCTGGTGACCCCCAGCCCAGCGCCACGGCTGACATGGGACAGAGCAGAACCGGTGACCCAGGTAGGGTGCAGGGGCCACACGAGGGGCTGCGGGGGGGCCGGACCTTGCCTGGTGCCAGACACCGATTCCCGCTCTTTCCTTGGCAGATGCCGACGGCTTCAACGCGGTGTTGGTGACCACGGCCAGGCTGAGCCACCCCACGGCCACACGGCCACGGGTACCCGGCCAGCGGCCACCCAGCCTTGTCCTGGGGAGTGCAGGGGGTCCCTGTGGGGTGGAGCAGCCCTGGGGGCTGCCCCCCACCAGGCTCTGCGTCCCCGTCCCCAGCGCGGGGCAGGCGGAGGGGCCGGAGGGGAGGCTGCTGGCCCTGGAGGACCTGAAGGCCGAGGTGCGGACCCTGCACATCCTCGTGGACCTGATGCGAGTCCAGCACCTGTGAGTGGGGATGGGGGGGTCGGGGGGTCCCCAGTGACTCCCTCAGGCCGTTCCCTGCCGGGTCTGGCCCCGGCTGAGCCGTCCGGGCGCGTTGCAGGCGGGACCTGCAGGACCTGCGGCTGGAGCTGTGCCAGGAGCGGAGCCAGCGCCAGGCACTGCAGGTGAGTCCCGGCAGGGGCTGCCCCGTCCCGGTGCCCCCGTGCCCCCCAGCACTCACAGCCTCTCCCCACAGGCAGAGATCGAGCGGCTGAGGAAGGGGCTGTCCTGTTAGTGCCGTGGGGGCCGCTGCCCCCAGCCTGGATCTGCACTCACTGGGCACAAAATGCCCACCCTGTGTCCAGGTACTGCTCCCTGCAGCACAACTGCCCCTGAGGGTATAGAAATTGTTTATGATAAACTATTTTGGGCATGGATCTCTGTGTGGGGGCTGCTCAGGGAGCTGCTGTGGGCTCCCATGTCCCTGTGGGGCTGGGCTGGTCCTGCCGGGCACAGGGGGTCCCAGCATGGCACAGGGGGTCCTGCCAGGGCCCACAGCAAGGCTGGGACAGGGCCTCCTCTTCCTCCTCCTCCTGCTCGTCCTCCTCCTCCTCCAGCCCCCACATAGTTTCCCAGGCCAGCTCCAGTCCCAGCCCCAGCACATCCTGGCCTCCAGCCACTGGAGAACATCTGGAAAACATCTGGATCCTGCTGGCGCTGGCGGCAGGGGGGACCAGCCTGGGAAGAAGCTATTTTTATAAAGCTGCTGGGGAGGGGGCAGTGGGGCCCCTGCACCCTGTGGGGCTGTGCTGGGGCTGGGAGCAGGGCAGGATGTGGCTCGGCCTCGTGGGAGCAGCCACATCCCTGGGGAGCAGCGGCCATCCCAGAGCCCAGCGGGAACATCCGCCCTGGTCCCACTGGGAGGGCGCTGGGTCATGGTGGGCGGTGCCGGAAAAGATCCGGCTAAATTTAGTGGGGCCAAAGAGGGAATTGGCCTGGGGAGGGGCTGAGACAATCCCTGTGTCCAGGGCCCCCCAAAACTCAGGACCCCACCACACTGGGCTCCAGCTTGTGTATAACAGCACCATGTTTGTGGGGCAGGAGCCCAGGGCTCACACGGACGCACAGCCCGACCCTGCCCCACAGGGTGACCCCCCACCCATCCCGGCTGAGATGGGCCAGCAAGGTCAGCCCTGTCCCCATCCCTGTCCCTGCGTGTCCTGGGGCTGCTTGGCTGGTGCCAGCCTCGTACCAATGGCTCAAAGTGCATCGTGTCCCGCGGTGCTGCGGGAGAGTCCAGCCCCGGCCATGCTGTCCTTGGTGCAGGGACAGCCCAGGGCGGCTCCGCCGGTGCAGGGGCCACAAGCGGCCCCCGTGTCCTGCCGGTCCCTCCTGGCACGGTGTGGGATCGGCTCTGGGGGGAGCAGGCACCGTGCCAGGGCGGCTGCCCCCGTGCCGGGGCTCAGTAGTAGTGGACGCGGCCCAGGGTGCCGACGGAGCCGATGGTGCCGGAGCCCAGGATGTCGGGCTGCCCGTTGCGCCAGATCTCGCGGATGATGCGCTCGCGCTCCTCCAGCCGCTGCGCCCGCTCCAGCTCCTCCGCCGACGCGAACACGTTCACAGCCAGAGCCCCGTCCCCGGGGCCGTGGCTCTCCAGAGGGATCTCGGTCACCGGCAGCAGCGACTCGGACGCTGCGCGGTCGATGGTGTCCTCCTCTTCATCCTCGTCCTCGTCATCCTCCTCCTCGTCCTCGCTGGGGTGGCCGGGCCGGGCCGGGGGGCGCGGGGGGGACCGGCAGGACAAGCGCAGCACCAGCAGGCACAGGGTCAGCACCAACCCGAAGCACACGCCCAGCACGAAGTAGAGCCCGAAGCTCTCGGGGTTGGCTGTGGGAGAGCAGAGGGGGTGAGGGACCGGTCTGTGCTGCTGAGGGCCCACACTGGCCCTGGGGTGGCCTTGGAGTGCCCCGGACACGCCCTGGCTCACCTCGGATGTGGGCGTACGCGGCCATGCTGTTGCTGAGCAGCTCCATGTCCCTCCGGCGACTCTCCATCCCGTGCCCAGCGGTTCTCAGCGGCTCCAGGGATGGCACACACTCGGCATCTGTGGGATGGGGGGGCTGAGCAAGGCTCTACAGGGGGCTGGGAACCCCCACAAATCCCACGGTCCCTTTCAAGGCTGTGCCTGGGTGCACCCAGGGGCTCCTCGCTGAGCAGGGCTCGTTCCTGGGCTGGGCTGCTCCATCCGGGGCTGGAATCCCACAGATGCTGAACTGGAGCCATCCCACTCCACCGCCCTCCGTCCTTCCTGAGGGACCAGGACGGATACGGCTCCTCCTGGACACAGCATCAGGCGGATCCGTGGCACTGGGCCAGGCTTTCCGGCCCCTGCCCTGGCCACGGGATGGGTCACGGGGCAGGGCGGGATCCCAGCACACATCCCTGTGCTCGTGGGAGCCGGAGCTGCCTGTGCTCATGTGCACACGTGTGCTCCAACACACACACAC